ATTCTGGTTTCTCTCAAATACCTGCGTCAGCGGAAGATCAATCAAAAACTACTTTTACTTGCCCTTTCGGTACTTTTGCTTATAGACGTATGACTTTTGGTTTATGTAATGCACCTGCTACCTTTCAAAGATGCATGATGGCTATATTCTCTGACTTTTGTGAAAAGATTTGTGAGCTATTCATGGATGACTTCTCCGTTTATGGATTCTCTTTTGATGATTGCTTGAGCAACCTTGATCAAGTTTTGCAGAGATGTGAAGACACTAGTCTCGTCCTGAATTGGGAAAAGTGTCACTTTATGGTTAATGAAGGCATTGTCTTGGGGCATAAATTTTTTGAAAGAGGTATTGAAGTTGATAAAGCTAAAGTTGATGTTATTGAAAAGATGCCATGTCCCAAGGACATTAAAGGTATAAGAAGTTTCCTTGGTCATGCCAGTTTTTATAGGAGGTTCATTAAGGACTTTTCTAAAATCTCTAGGCCTCTGACTATTTTATTGCAAAAAGATATTCCTTTTGTCTTTGATGATGATTGTGTAGAAGCTTTTGAAATACTTAAGAAGGCTTTGATCAGTGCACCTATTGTTCAGCCACCTGATTGGAATTTACCCTTTGGAATTATGTGTGATGCTAGTGATTATGTTGTAGGTGTTGTTCTAGGGCAGAGAGTTGATAAGAAATTAAATGTTATCCAGTATGCTAGTAAAACTCTTGATACTGTCCAGAGAAATTATGCTACTACTCACTACAAGAAATATGTCAACTTGTGACCTTTTGTCAGTGACCCTGGAAGAATTGGTCATAGATTTATGACCATTTCAGACCAATTGGTCAAAAGCTGTTCGGGGGGCTCCAAACCCTAAACCATTGTGACCATTTTGGTCAGAAAGGTCGTAATTTCCTTACACGAAATGGTCACAAAGCAAACAGTGCTAGTCCGCTGCCTTATTTCTAGTTGTTAATGACCAATATAGATGGTCATAGCCTTGTAGATTGTGGTGGGTTGTGATGACTAGGCACCATCTCATCAGTTTTGCCTATGTGTCATGTCCATGTGGCAGTTTTTGCCCTAGTTTGTGAAGCAAACTATATTTCTGTCATTCCAAAAATTCCCAAAAAATCTCGTAAATTGTTTGGATCATATCTTCATGAAATATGTCAAAAACCTTCCTTGCCTAGTTCAAAAATAATTCAAAAATATTCATTTTCCTATTCTATTCAAAGCAGCACTTTGTGAAGGAAGTACCACTTTGGCATGTCCAAATGGTATCCATTTTCTACAGTGCTTTCCTATGCCCAAATAACCATCCTCCACCAAATGCCAGCTCAATCCATTCATTATTTTGAGCCGAGCTTCAACATTTGTAGTTATGTCCAGTGTGGTAGTTTGCAAAGCAAGTACCACCTAGGCTCCTCCTTTTGAGCTGAAAATTTGTGAAGATGGTTTTCTTAGTAACTGATCATCCTCAGCCAAAACTCACGCCCATTAGCCATGTGCATTTCCCGTACCGCAAATCAAACACTTGGCTGCTTATTCATGTTTGAGCATCGATCGGTCTCCTCGTGAGAATGTTATGTTGTGATTTTCTTCTTAGCACCTACCTGGGGAGTGCCCAACCCACTAGACATGCCTAGGCCGCCCAGAACACATGGCAACGCCACGGTCACGCGGTGACCACGTGGCGGGCATGCGAGCTTACGCGCTCTAGAGTTGGGGCCCTCGGCCACCGTCCAAACCTCGATGTCTCGCCATCAAACCATGTATTTCTGATTAAATAGATACTTACTTACCTAGAAATGATTTTTGGAAAAAATAAAGAGCAAACTATGAGGTAGTTGCAGTTCAAATTTGACCTGCTTCCAACTAAATCGACGAGAATTTGTCTTTTTCACCAGAGGTGGATCAAAAATTTTGACACCCAACCATTTTGTCAATTGTGCATTAAAAATGGCCTAGTATTTTATAAAAATGATTTGGTCCATTTTTGCAACAATTATTTGGTAGTTCCTTCACAAAAAAACCTCCTTTTGGGCACTCGGAAAATGAAAAATGAATTTTCCGTGCAAAGAAAATGAAAACTTCCTTAGGCAACATTGTTTGGAATTCCAAGATGTACCCTTGTGCACAATATGAGATCATTTGGACAAACTATGCCATGAATGTGGCCATAAGATTGATCATTTGGCTTGAAAGCCATTGATCTCCACACGTGATAGCTCGTTTCTGAGAACACTTTTTTAAAATAATTCCCGTATGACAAGTTTGTTATTTTTCCTGGGAACTTGGCCACATATAATGACACAATGCGAAGGTTTCCCAATTTTTTGATTTTTTTTGAATTTTTTATGCCCGTTTCAAAATGTGGTCAAAACGGCGGGAATGACCGTTCCTAGCTAGTGGTTGAATCTTGGAATTTTTTTGGTGTTTCTCTGATTAAATAGGTAGTTATGTACCTAGAAATGATTTTTGGAAAAAATAAAGAGCAAACTATGAGGCAGCTGCAATTCAAATTTGACCCGCTTCCAAGTGAATCGGTGGGAATTTGTCTTTTTCACGAGAGGTGGATCAAAAAATTTTACACCCAACCATTTTGTCAATTGTGCATTAAATATGGCCTATTATTTTATAAAAATGATTTGGTCCAATTTTGCAACAATAATTTGGGAGGTCCTTCACAAAAAAACTCCTTTTGGGCACTCGAAAAATGGAAAATGGTTTTTTCGTCCAAAGAAAATGAAAACTTCCTTAGGCAACATTGTTTGCCATTCCAATATGCACCCTTGTGCACAATATGAGATCATTTTAACAAACTATGCCATGAATGTGGCCATAAGATTGATCATTTGGCTTGAAAGCCATTGATCTCCACACGTGATAGATCATTTATGAGAACACTTTTTTAAAATAATTACCGTATTACAAGTTTATTATTTTTCCTGGAAACTTGGTCACATATAATGACACAATGCGAAGGTTTTCCAATTTTTTGATTTTTTTTGAATTTTTTATGCCCGTTTCAAAATGCGGTCAAAACGGCGGGCTTGACCGTTCCTAGCTAGTGGTTGAATCTTGGAAAAATTTTGGTGTTTCTCTTATTAAATAGATACTTATGGACCTAGAAATGATTTTTGGAAAAAATAAATAGCAAGCTATGAGGCAGCCGCAGTTCAAATTTGACCCGCTTCCAACTGAATCGGCAGGAATTTGTCTTTTTCACCAGAGGTGGATCAAAACTTTTGACACCCAACCATTTGGTCAACTGTGAATCAAATATGGCCTAGTATTTTATAAAAATGATTTGGTCAATTTTGCAACAAATATATGGTAGGCCCTTCACAAAAAAACTCATTTCGGGCACTCGGAAAATGGAAAATGAATTTTCCATGCAAAGAAAATAAAAACTCCCTTAAGAAATATTGTTTGGAATTCCAAGATGCACCCTTGTGTACAATAAGAGATCATTTGAACAAACTATTCCATGAACGTGGCCATAAGATTGATCATTTGGCTTGAAAACTCTGAATCTTCACGCGTAATAGCTCATTTATGAGAACACTTTTTAAAATAATTGTCGTATTACAAGTTTATTATTTTTCCTAGAAACTTGGTCACATATAATGACATAATGTGAAGGTTTCCCAATTTTTTGATTTTTTTTGAATTTTTTATGCCCGTTTCAAATTGCGGGCAAAACGGCGGGAATGACCGTTCCTAGCTAGTGGTTGAATCTTGGAATTTTTTTGGTGTTTCTCTGATTAAATAGATACTTATGTACCTAGAAATGATTTTTGGAAAAAATAAATAGAAAACTATGAGGCAGCCGCAGTTCAAATTTGACCCGCTTCCAGCTGAATCGACGGAAATTTGTCTTTTTCATTAGAGGTGGATCAAAACTTTTTACACCCAATAACTTGGTCAATTGTGCATTAAATATGGCCTAGTATTTCAGAAAAATGATTTGGTCCAATTTTGCAACAAATATATTATAGGTCCTTCACAAAAAAACTCAGTTTGGACACTCGAAAAATAATTCTCTTACAGAAAACTTATTTCTAAGAACACTTTTTTATGATATTTGCATTATTCAAAGTTTGTTATTCTTACTGAAAAGCAGGTCACACTTGGTGACACAATGCAAAGTTTTTTTATTTCTATTTGTTTTCATAAATTTTCTAGGCCGTCAAATAGCAGACATGTTTTAACATCTTATTTTCAATCGATTATGACCAATTTAAATGGTCTTAAAATCATCAAAGGGTACTGCGTTTTGATTGGTCCAAAACCATCTCACGCGGATCATGGATTAGCACTGTCGGATGCGCCCAGATCCAACGGCAGCCCACACTCCTCCCTCGTCGCTCTCCCCCCTCCCTCTCATCCTCATCCACCCACGAAAACCCTAGCTCACTTATCCCCATCGCCGCTGCCGCTCCCGCTCCCTTTTCCCCCGCCGCCGCCGTACTCCTCCTTCCTCGTCCTCGTCTCGTCGCCGCCGCCACCTCCTCCCTTCCCCGGCCTCCTTTCCTCCCGTCCCGGGCCTCCTTCCGTGGCGCGCGATCCCCTCTCCCCTCCCCTCCCGATCCCACCCACCGAACCGATCTCGATCTAGTCCAGATCGAGAGAGAGCGAGCCCCCTCCCACGATTCCCACCGCCGCCACCCCCACCCACCACCGCCGATCCGGCCCCGACGGCTCGTTCCCCTCGCGCAACTGCTCCCCTCCTCCCCGCCCTCCCTGCGCTCCAGATCCGTTGACGGCATCTGGCCACCCGGCGACGGCGGGGATCCGCTGCTGCAGCACCTCCGCGCGGGGACCCGCGAGGCCACGCCGTGGCTGCGGGACACGCCATGGCTGTGACCTTCTCTCCATGCCCGCAGATCCACTCCCGCAGCGGTCAGATCCACCCTCACTCCATCACCAGCGGCGCTAAGGACCCAGATCCAACACCTCACCTTCTCTCCCTGTCCACCACGCCACGGCGCCATGAAGATGGATGGAGATGGCTCCCCTGCTCTGCTCAGGACGTACAACGACGCCAAGGTCCAGCCCTTCTTCGTGGAGATGGATGGATTGGAGGGCCGACGACTCCAACAACGAAATCCACCACGCGATCGGCGTCCACGGTGCAATCTGCCATCGACGAGGCCTCCAATGCGGCTTCATCTTCAACGCCGACGTGAAGTGGCGAGGCCGTGGTCGTCGGACATGGTGGCGGCAGGCCGAAGAGTGGCGTGCTGGTGGAGTGCAGGATCTGCCAGGAGGACGGCGACGAGACCTGCATGGAGGCCAATTGCTCCTGCAAGGGCAGCTTGAAGGTAAAAACGTCTTGGCATATACGTACATTGCTCTTGTCTGAAAGCAGTAGCTGAATTGAATAAGTGTCTCTTTCAGTATGCTCATCGGACATGCGTCCAGAGGTGGTGCGACGAGAAGGGGGACACCATATGTGAGATATGCTTAAAGGTAAAATTTGGTTTCCCTGGTAACTTGTGCGCATGGCTTACTAATGGAGAATATTATTTATCTCAAATCATGTAAACATATGGATAACTGATGTCATCCACTGATGTATAGCTTGTGTTTGTTGACGATAAAACAGCAATTCACACCAAACTACAAGGCTCCTTCCAAGCTGTTTCAGCAGGGAAGAAACTCCATCTTCTTCAGGTACCAATTTCTAATGCTTCACCTGTCAAACATATCACATCTCACAAATGGTGAAATGGATCATCTAATGCTCGGACTGGACTGATTCATTTTCTGCGTGCCCTTCACAAGTACACCATGACCATCATGTTCGACGGCACCTACACGAGTGGAGGTCTCGGAGAAGATTAGCCTCCTGCAGCGGCTTGTGACCCAACCTCCTCAACAATGAGGCTTCATTCATGGCTGGTAAGGTTCTGACACCTCTTGCTTGAGATTTCTGGTTGTATTATACATACAGTCAAAATTATACCTTTTGAGTTTTGATGAATCATGTGCTATTCCGCCCGCTCAGCAACAGTATCTGTTGTTTTCTCATGATGATAATCCTGCATCACTTGACTGAAACATACCAGTCCAGTCCATTCTCACAACCAATTAAGTCCAGAGCTCACACCTCTCCGTTGATGATGCATGTACATTCCAGTTAAAGAATAACACAGGATTAATTAATTCTTGGGCTCTTTTAGCCGTGCTTCTTACTCTAGGTTCCAAGTAGAGATGCAGTGATGCCAAACATCGCCTGTGCTTCAACTGATTAATTTTCTGCGTGCCAAACAGAGCATGTGATGTTATCAAAATATTTGCTACTCTTAATGGGTTTATCCCACTTGATGATCTTAACCACCAAGTTACTGTAAATTTGTACAAAGGACTAATGGTTTTGGTTTGAGTTACTTGACCATTCTTAGCTCGCTAGATAGTGCCTGCATCTGGTCCTGATTAGAGGAAAACTAATACTGTATGTCGGCATTGCAGTGTGGAGTGCAATGCCTCGTACGAGTACCACTCCCTCTACGCCTACTTCGACCGGGACAATGTTGCACTTAAGGGCTTTGCCAAGTAAGCACATTGTTGTAGCTGTCTTCCATTACCAAAGCTACCAGTACAATATTCTGATCAAACTTGGTTCTGAATTCTGATATGCGACTGTTTCTTTTCTCAAGGTTCTTTAAGGAATCGAGCGACGAGGAGAGGGAACACGCGGAGATGCTTATGGAGTACCAGGTACCAATAATTCCCTTGACCTTTGAATTATTAATACCATTGTCCTGTGCGTGCTAGCTAGAAACTGATGGATGATGCTTGGTGTATTCTTGTGTGTGTCCATCAGAACAGACGTGGAGGGCGGGTGAGGCTCCAGTCTATCGTGACCCCATTGACAGAGTTCGACCACTCTGAGAAAGGCGATGCTCTGTATGGTAAGTTTATTTATGGTTGTGGGTGTTTATGCATATTCAGTTCTTAGAAAGGGGCTGCTAGTTATGCCAGATTAATTACCCGGGGAAAGTAAGACTTTGTGGAAGAAATAGGATATATATATATATATATATATATATATATATATATATATATATATATATATATATATATATATATGTGCTTCTGTTGCTTCTATAGTATAGTTAGTACTCATGCCCATGATCGACCAGGTCCCTGCTCTGTTTCTTCTTCTTTTGCTTCCTGTATGTATGTATGTGTCTATGCATGTAGCCCCCTCGCTCGTGTACTGTTGCCGCTTCTCCTGCTATTTTCTACTGCCTGCTGCCGCATACTGCTGCTGCTCGCCAGATGCCGCAGCTACTCACTGCTGCTGCTACTCTTGCACTGCTGCAGCTGATGCTACTCGTTATGGAATTCATTATGGAATTTGATGCAGTGTACCATCAGTCACAGCTGCTGAGTTATCCAGTTAGGTAGTAGTACATGACAGTGAACGGCTCAAAAGTATTTCTGTGTTTGATGCATGGCCTATCTTACTTCGTGGTTATACATTCTGTTCTGTACCTAACTTATATTTGAAGCTGACTATTCTGTAAGATGGATCTAACCATCATTAAGTGCACACATTTTTAGGATAATTTGCAACTGCATTAAAAAATTATAGTGGGAGTTATACATGTTTTCTCATGATAGATTGATCTAGACTGAAACATGATTTTGCATCCCGTTTTCCGTGGACAAATATACAAGTTATACAAGTTATATCAGCAAGTTACTATATGTGTTAGAGAAATCAATGTTGATTTATTTGTTGTTCTTTTTTTTCTTTCTAATTTTTGCATGAGAGCAAACTGGTGTAGCTAGTTGGACTATGCAGCCATGAATTAGGAAGTAGCATATTCAGTTTTGCTAATAGAAAATAAATGTATTAAAAACTTTAAAAACTGCATAATAAGTGCTTGTTCATGTTTGGTTTTCTCTAAACTTTGTTTGTATGATTGAGGGCAAATTTACTTGGTTCTTTTCTCTAAATTGTGCTTGGAACATTCATTTTTATGATCTAAAATTGCCTTCCTATGATGATGCAGGTGCCCGGTTTGTGCTCGCTACCGAAGGAGCTCCATGTTGAAGAAGATTGAAGAGCGCCAGGGTTAACACCAGGGCAGCTTGTAGAGCTTGTATATGTATAGAGCTTGTAAATGTATCACATGTAGAGCTTTGTAGAGCTTGTATATGTTAGAGCTTATTATGTGTAGAGCTTGTAGAGTATATGTTATTTGTACAATAGGAGCTCTGTACTGAATCTGCCTGATAATATTTGGAGTATTATGTGTGTGTTTTGTTTGTGCCAATTTAAATACTAGTTATTTATTTACTGTTAGATTGAAATATAAAGAATAATAACTTGCTATCTGGGACCCACGTACCTGAACCTGACATCTGGGACCCATTTGACTGGTGGACCTTTTTTATATTGCAAAAAAACTAAAACTTTCTAGCAGAAAAGGCTACGGCCCCAAAATGAGAAGGCTTAATTGTTGGGCTTGGCCCATCTACCTAGCCAAAATTAATATGAGAAAAAAACACAAATAGGCTGAATTGTTGGGCTAGGCCCATGTAGAAAACCGAATTGGACCGGGCTGAATCTTGTGCCGCATCAGCTTGCCACGCTGGATGCCTACGTGGCCTGGGGAGGTTGCTAGTGACCAAAACGCCACGGTAGGGATATTTTGGTCGTAAACGTCTTCGACCATTCCAGAAGAAAGGTCGCTATAGTCAGTTTATGACGGCCAGCTTTTGACCTTCTGTTTTTGGTCACAAAAAGGTCGCAAATGGAAATTTGTGACCTTTCAGTGACCAATAGTGGTGGTCACAAGTTGACATATTTCTTGTAGTGACTGGAAAAGAATTCTTAGCAGTTGTATTTGCTTGTGATAAGTTCAGACCTTATATTGTTGATTCTAAAGTTACTATTCACACTGATCATGCTGCTATTAAATATCTTATGGAAAAGAAAGATGCTAAACCTAGACTTATTAGATGGGTTCTCTTGCTTCAAGAATTTGATTTACATATTTTGATAGAAAGGGAGCTGAGAACCCCGTTGCAGACAACTTGTCTAGGCTAGAGAATGTTCTTGATGACCCACTACCTATTGATGATAGCTTTCCTGATGAACAATTAGCGGTCATTAATGCTTCTTGTACTGCTCCATGGTATGCTGATTATGCTAATTACATTGTTGCTAAATTTATACCAACTAGTTTCACATACCAGCAAAAGAAAAAGTTCTTCTATGATTTAAGACATTACTTCTGGGATGACCCACACCTTTATAAAGAAGGAGTAGATGGTGTTATTAGACGTTGTGTACCTGAGCATGAACAGGAACAGATCCTACGCAAGTGTCACTCCGAATCATATGGAGGACACCACGCTGGGGACAGAACTGCACATAAGGTATTGCAATCCGGTTTTTATTGGCCTACTCTCTTCAAAGATGCTCGTAAGTTTGTCTTGTCTTGTGATGAATGTCAAAGAATTGGTAATATTAGCAGACGTCAAGAAATGCCTATGAATTATTCTCTTGTTATTGAACCATTTGATGTTTGGGGCTTTGATTATATGGGACCGTTTCCTGCCTCTAATGGTTATACACATATTTTAGTTGCTGTTGATTATGTTACTAAGTGGGTAGAAGCTATTCCAACTAGTAGTGCTGATCATAACACCTCTATTAAGATGCTTAACGAAGTTATTTTTCCGAGGTTTGGAGTCCCTAGATATCTCATGACTGATGGTGGTTCACATTTTATTCACGGTGCTTTCCGTAAAATGCTTGCTAAGTATGATGTTAATCATAGAATTGCATCTCCTTATCACCCGGAGTCTAGTGGTCAAGTAGAATTGAGCAATAGAGAGCTCAAATTAATTTTGCAAAAAAACTGTTAATAGATCTAGAAAGAATTGGTCCAAGAAACTTGATGATGCATTATGGGCCTATAGAACTGCATATAAAAATCCTAAGGGTATGTCTCCGTATAAGATGGTTTATGGAAAAGCGTGTCACTTACCTCTTGAACTTGAACATAAGGCATATTGGGCTATTAAAGAGATCAACCATGACTTCAAACTTGCCGCTGAGAAGAGGTTATTTGATATTAGCTCACTTGATGAATGGAGAACCCAAGCCTATGAAAATGCCAAGCTATTTAAAGAAAAAGTAAAAGATGGCATGACAAAAGAATACAAAAGCGTGAGTTTAACGTAGGTGATTATGTGTTGCTATTCAACTCTTGTTTAAGATTTTTTGCAGGAAAACTTCTCTCTAAATGGGAAGGTCCTTACATTATCGAGGAGGTCTATCGTTCTGGTGCCATAAAAATCAACAATTTCGAGGGCACAAGTCCGAGGGTGGTGAACTGTCAAAGAATCAAACATTATATCTCAGGTAATCCTATTAATGTTGAGACTAATATTATTGAAACCGTAACCCCGGAGGAATACATAAGGGACACTTTCCAGAATGTTTTAGACTCCGAAAAGGAATAGGTATGTGGTACGATAAGTAACCCGACTTCAAAACAATTCTAATGGCATTTTTCTCCGTTTTGGAATATTTAATAATTTTGGAAAGCAAGAAGTAATCCGGAAAGGACACGAGGCCTCCACGAGGGTGGAGGGCGCTCCCCCTGTCTCGTGGGCACCTCGTGTGCCTCCTGGACTCCGTTTTCTTGCATGTTACTTCTTTTGGTCGGTAAAAATTCATTATATAATCTCCCGAAGGTTTTGACCACCGTATCATGCAAAAATCCTTTGTTTTTGTTTCGAGCTTTTCCTGTTGCAGATTTAGAGCAAGATGTCTTCTCAAGAGTCAGTCGGGGAGAGTCGGGTGTCTCACCCGACACCAGGTCTAGGAGCAAATAGCGATGCTTATCACTTTGGACCATCAACGGAGGATGAGATGGAGGCCGACTTGAAAAGGATAGATGCCATGGAGGAAGATCAAGAAGTTACCTCCCGCTTCCAAGCAGGATTCATGATGGGGGAACTTCAGAGCTCGGCTATTCCAAATTCGGTCATCCCTTCCAACGTTAAATTTCTTTCTTATGAAAATATGAGAAAGAGTGTCACTTGTTCTCCAGAAGCTATGCAACACCCTTGGGTAAAAGGTGCTTTAGCAGTAATAGGCAAGCTCCACAAGGGAAACATGGAACTCAAGCAACAAGTCAATAAGCTCGAGGAGGAGAATCGTATCCTAAGGGGTATCATCGCCAAGAAGATCACAACACCAACTCTGAACAAGGAGACATAATTACATGGGTATGGGCACTCCGCTTGGCAGCTACCAAGCTTGGGGGAGGTGCCCCGGTATCATATCACCATCACACTCCTTCCTTTACCGTTTTACTTAGTTCGATCCTTTTAGTAATATCTTGATCTAGTAGAATAAAGTTTTGGTATGAAGTAGTTTTGAGTTTTGCTTTGTGATCCCTTTATGTAATCGAGTCCGTGAGCTATCTATAATAAAGATTAGTGTTGAGTCAAGGGCTTTTCTATCTTGCAATGATCTTGAGAAAATAGAAAGAGTAAAAAGAATAAAAGAGTTCATATTGATCTTATGGATAGTAATGACTTCGCATATAAAGAGTATGAGGCATAAAAGTTTTTGAGAGTTGACAATCCTAGTTTTGGTCATTGTTGCAATTAATAGGAAGTAATAAAGAAAGAGAGGTTTTCACATATAAATATACTATCTTGGACTTCTTTTATAATTGTGAGCACTCATTAGGTATTACATGCTAAAGAGTTGATGTTGGACAAGGAAGACAACGTAATGGTTTATGTTTTCTCACATCTCAGTTAAAGTATATTGTCATGGATCGTCCAACATGTTGAGCTTGCCTTCCCCCCTCATGCTAGCCAAATTCCTTGCACCAAGTAGAGATACTACTTGTGCTTCCAAATATCCTTAAACCCAGTTTTGCCATGAGAGTCCACTATACCCACCTATGGATTGAGTAA